TATATATATATATATATATATGCGGCTAACTTTAGAAATACTAATTTTTTGATGTAGTCAAACTATATAACATAAGAAATTAATATTATAGAACGTGATGCAATTGACTTTTTTTTTAAATCAATAAAGCTGAAAGCCGTCAGACATCAGTGATTCGATGATTTTATCTTTAAAATTTCTGATAAAACAGAATCGTCAACAGTTTTATTTATATCCACGGGCAAGTTGGCATGGAAAGAGTGGCAACCAATGAAAAAATTCCATTTTTTAATCCTTCCTCCCTAATGATCTAATAGAAATTTTTGAAAGATTTTTTTGGATCGTCGATTGAAATTGCCCTTTTTATCTAGTGTTCAAATTTCGAACGAAATACATACTATTTCATTATTTATTATTTCAAATTTTCTCACAAACTGAAACAAAAATATTTTAAAAATATTAACGAAAATAGTTTACTCCTTTAATTTGCTTTTAGAAAAACTTAAATTATAAGTAAATAAACAAACAAAAAATCAGACACTCATTTTTTTCTTATTGCTTAAAATCATTGCATTTTTATAGGGGGTCGCAGACGAAACCCGATGGAAAACCCTGATTTGTTTCAAGGTGACATTGCTGGCATTGAAAACATTTTCGTGAGTAGTATATTTTAATCAACACTCTTTTAGTTTACAGTGGCAGTGGCAGCCCAGTGGTTACAGAATCGGGCTCCTATCCGGAGGTCCCGAGGTTGGATTCTCGACTCCACTAAGACCCACCCAGAACATGCGATACACCTTCTCGTAAAATCTGTGGAATCAGAAGTCCTGTGGTCTGTCTCTCACCAGTCCCGTGTGCCCAAGAATTTCGAGAAAATATCCTTCCCCTTTAGATCTAAGTCTAAATTGAAGAAGTGGCCTCACAAATGAGATTTCCTCAATGGCGGATCAAAATTATGATGGAATGCTTTCGGATCATGCTCAAGGATGCTTCCCTGAGCGTCGCCGATCGCAAATTGCGTATCTCTAGTGCGACGTAAATAAAGTTCCTGCCTAGTACCTACAATTTAGCTTACATTGTTCTATAAATACATTATGACTTTAACAAATAAAAACTAAATGTATAAGAAACTTTTTTAGTACGAGAGCAAAATATCAATTTCTTTAATTTGTTATTACAGAATAACGTTTAATCAAAAGATTAAGAGAACAGCCTATTAAAGTTAGACACTACGTAGGGATTTCTCTAACCGAGCGTATTTTGCCATTCCGCAAGTTCTTCTCTACCATGAAGGTAGAGGGTTTAAATCACACCGCATCTTTGGATGTGTCTCTGCCTTCTTGTGTTAATTATTCTTGTATCTTAAAAAGGACTTATAAGCCATAGATTGTAATGAGTACACAAGTCAGCATACATGTAAAAATAAATTAAATAAAACCGTGCTCATTAAATAAACTAGTAGTTCACGCCGTATATAACATGTATTCTTCCATTACAATGAGTTATTTTTATATCCGTCGTTAGCTGACCAACTTTTGTGTTTACGACTACTAATGTTCAACTCCATAGTCTTGTAATTTTTTAAACCAATCCAGAAGACAAAGAAACTCCTGGATCAGTACGGCCAGAGGTATTGATTTGTTATGGGAACATGAAAGACTTAGCGACTCGACAGATTTAACGTGCATCTGTCTCCATTTACAACACTGGGAGTCTTCTGCCGGTTGGGATCGAACCAACGAACTCTTTGACATGTGTCCAGTGCCCTACCGACCAGGCTATCCCTGCCTTAAAATGGGTCTTTGGCTATGGTCAAATGAACACCAAGCCATCAATAATAATCAATCGATTATATTCACTGTGATTAATCAAGTAATGTGAATACCATCGCCCAGTTTTCCTTAGACTGATATTTTTCTAAGATTAAGTACAACTACCTTTACGGTATACCTTTCACAGTAGTTTTTTAAGGTTAAGTGCCACTCCCAGGTTTATCCTGCACTGATACTTTTTAAAGTTTAAGTGTCATATGAATAAAAATTAATTGTTCAAATGAATTAATTTGAATGATTTTAATCCCGTCCATGCTCTTTCAAGCATTAATAATAGTTGCTCATAGTTTTAGTCTCACTAAAATACTAATTGATGACCCTATATAAACCTTTTTTTACATAGCTTTTAAAAACACATAAAGGTGTATATCACACTCTAAATTTCGCTGAAATTCTTCGTTCTTTTAATCCTATTTTTACTCGGTATATTATAAATCATGTCGAATCTGAATCAAATTATGGTAAAAGTTACCGGGCACTGAGGGTGACAATACTTTTTACCATAAAATCAATTTTACCGGAACATGTTAAGAAACAAAATATCCGACATACCGTAAATTTTAGAGTAATAATTACCGTCAAAATTCCTGAATCACTCTAATTAAATAATTATTGCTGAAAAAACTACGGTATAATTTCTTTATTTTAAGCTAAAAATGAATTTTACTTCAAAAGTACGGCAAAAGATAATGACACCAAACTGCCGGTACTTCATGTTGAAATTTGATCAGAAATTTTTTACAGTGTACTCACGATAAACAATTAAAATTCCTTTTAATAATTATATTTATTTATTTATAATCTAAAACAATTAGTTTTTTATGGTGCTACGATCAAACAGAAAATTATCAATTAAAATAACTCACTGAGAAATTTGGAATTGACAGAATTAGTACGAGCAAAAAAAATCCAATCAATTAATTTTAAAATTCACGTAAACTTTAAATACCAGTACTGAAGTACTTTCTATAACAGTACTTTAGTACTAGTAAAAAATAGTACTTTAGTACCTTTTTTACTCTAATTTATTGTTGTTATCATCATCAGGATAGAAATGGTGTTCCTTTAAAAAGAATGCAATGGCCACAAGGTATCATTCCTTTCAAAATTGACCCTGGATTAAGTAAGTGCTTTTTATCACCCTATTTTACCATAAATTTATTGAATTAAAAGTATCTACAATAATTAATAGATAGAAGTTTTACTCTGAACACCATGATTTCCATCTATTTTCTTAGTTCTTTAAAAGAAATTAACAAATAATTGTACCTTAATAGTGAGGGACTGAATATTTAACAAACCATAAATAGAAACTCAAATTAAAGATTAGTTTTAATTGCCTTTTATTATCTATGGTTGTACACAGTTATTAGATTTATTAGAGTTTCTGCCTAGAAGATGATACTTTTTTTTTTATTTATTTTTTTATAATATTAAAAATCATATCTTGGAACACTTAATTTTTTAATTAAGTCGTCTTCATTATCACTCCACTGCTTACAAACGCTTCTAAAAGAAATTTCCTCTGGTACTTTTCTAATTTTATCAGACCATATTTTTGTGGTCATTTTCCCATGATGCTGCAATGATAGCCCAAAATGTTGAAAGTACTGTGAGCCAAAGAGAAATAAAAAAGATGAAGAAAAAACAGACTACCCTGAATAACTTTTACGTTAATCTTCACGTGTTAGGACTCAATCTTAATGTTTCGAAAGGGTGATCTCAAATATGCTAATTAATAAGTGCAGAAGATATAAGTTACTCAGAATAAACATGCCACTTTTTCTACGAATTCAATGATCTGACCCCCAAAATATAGAGATTTTTTATTATAGCCGAAATTTAGAATTTTGTCCGAATGACTTTGTCAGGAGAGCAGCCTAAAGTTTGAATCCCTTTATGTTAATGTGACTTTTTTCGCTCTTTAGAACTCCTCAAGCGAATTTAAAAAAAATCGCCCATATTTATAAAATTCGTTTATACAAAAATAATCCTCTGCAAAAAATAACTTTTACTAAATATTTATTATTTTTATGCTTTTATTTAATAATAGTGAAAATAATTTAAAATTCTAAGGAGTGAAATTTTTGCATCACTTTAAAAATTTAATTTTGCATGGCAAAATACAAAATTGGAGTGAAATTCGTCATATAGTTCCTAAGAAATCAAATTTTAACGAAGTTGTATATTTAATAATATAACGCGATAACTCTACTCCATAAATGCGGGTAAAACACATTGATTAAAAAGTTTTTCATTTAGAAAATTTTTCTAACACATTGATTAAAAACTTTTCTTTCTTTTATTTTTCTCTCTTTTATTAAGACGTTGTTTTTATCATATAAACTCAAACCAATTTTGTGTCTTTTTTTTTCCCAGCATTGCTATCATTCAATGCAAATATACGAGTACATAACAGATAATTTTGGATATTAATAAAAATCGATTAATCGAAAGATAATCGAAAATAAAAGGAAGGACAATAAAGCGAATAACGCAAGAGGTACGCAAAACTTAACTATTGTCCCTTATTTTTTTATCACTGTTCCCCGTCACCATACATAAAATTACCTATTTTATCTATTTTACTAATTAAACTGGCATCGAACTTTTTAGTCTAGTTCTCTGAATTCCACTTATCCCCAAATTTAATAATGATTTAACTTACTTCCAGCAGTTTTAAGTCAACCTTATAAATATTATGATCTTAATACGAATTACATTTAAATTTCAGATCACGAAAGAATTCTGATTTTGCAATCAATGAAGAATATTGAATCAAAAACATGCATTACTTTCGTAGAACGCACGACACAATCTGACTACATAAGAATTTTTCCAGGAGAAGGGTAAATACGTGACACGCATTTTTAGATTAGTAATTCTCAGCAATAAGACTAAGTTAGTGAAACAGATACGTTACGAAATAAAACAGTTTTAGATACTATTGCACAGTATCTCAAAAAAAAAAAAAAAAAAACACCGAATCTATTGCAAGATATTTTATTTTATTACCGTCGTTGAACAGCCGACCCAAGTTTTTGGGTTTACGACTGCTAATATTCAACTCCGTAGCCTAGTAATTTTGAACCCAATCCAGAAGACAAGACACACTTTACATATCACTTACATTTTAACTGGAGCGTTTCGATGAAGTTTGATTTACTGGACGTAACAAGTAGGCATTACCATTTTACAGCCATAATAGTATTTTATTTTATAACTGTCGTAGAACAGCAGACCCAATTTTGGGTTTACGACTCCTAATGTTCAACTCCGTAGGCTTGTAATTTCGAACCCGATCCAGAAGACAAGGGAATTCTTAGATGAAGTATTGGGAGACATTTGTCTTTAGTGAAGGACTTTTTGACGAAACTAACCCGCATCAGCGTGACATGGGGAGGAAAACAGTGAAAACCTCCCACGGTTAACCTGACGGCAAAGGAACTCAAACACATGATTTGTCTACCGTTGAGGATATTTTACGTCAGCACAGTGGTTGGTGCTATCCGAGTTCGGAATTCGAATCAACCAACCATTACCGTGAATCGAACCCGGTTCACCTCATTTAGAGGCATTTAGCGCTCTATCCCCTGAGCAGCCACGGCTCTATTACAAATATTGAAAAAAATTTGAGAGATTGTGAAACAAAAAAAAAATTGCAACAATTGATAATAGTACTTTTTGGTTCGCCGCCAACTGCTTTTCTTTTACTTTATTTTAACTTTTTATTTCAAAGTTTTGTGGCGTTTTTTTTTTGCAGACGGCGTACCGAAAAGTACCATGAATTATTACTATTTATTATTATTTAATAACTTACATTTATTAATAAATTACCCACAACCCAGAACCTTTCTGATGCAAGGACATTTCTCTGCCCCCTACACAGGCCGGTCGGCCATATAAATATATATATAGACTAAAAAATTTTAGAAATCTGTAAATTTCGGTTCATATCCTTGGTGTCTTATATTTTCGTTCTTCATTTTACAGTGGTACTAATAAAGTTTTATTTAAAAAAGATTTAATTTTTAAAAATTAGATTAACTGATGGAAAATTTTCATTTTACTTTAGATTAAAAGCTGGTTTTTGAAAATTTGATTAACCGGTTATAGATCCTTAAAATTAAAAATTAGATCATTATTGTTAAATAAATTTCCAACGAAAGAAGTGCCGTGTCATTGCTTAACCATGCTATCAAACTTCTTTTTAAGGCACAATTTGCAACAATTGTGTTGTTGTTTGTTTAAAAAAAAATTATTTTCCGATAGTCTGTTCTGTGAATTAATTATATTTAAAGGTGATAAAATGACTTTATTTAAAAACGTCTTTGTTTAAAAAATATGTAAACGTATTTCGTTTACGGGGAAAAAATCTAATCCATTAACATTATACCGATTCATTTTCACCAAAAAAAGCGCTATATTTATTAGTTAATGCAACATCCATTAGTTAAATTTCATTTGATCTGCAGGTGCTACTCTTACTGGGGTCGAGTTGGACGCGAACAACCAGTATCCTTAGGGGATGGTTGTGAGTACATGGGTACCGTCATCCATGAGTTGAACCATGCTATCGGATTTGATCATGAACAAAACAGATCGGACAGAGATGACTACCTCATTATATTTTGGGACAACATTCTGAAGGGTAAGATACCAATGAATTGAATAATCTTCCTTTTCTCAAAACTAATATCTATTGGTAACACTATACTCTGTTGCAAGTTAATGACAAAAGCCATTATCCATATGGTGAGAGCCTGTTTGCATCTAAGTGCTCTACAAATGGATGCTAATCTCCCAGCGCGAACGTATATCAACATCTCCAACTCTTGAAACAACGCTGCACAGCTTCCTTTTTGCTTACTTTCTTAAATCGTGTGAAATGAGGGAAATAAAACTAATTGAATAAAAGCTATTAGTTTGTTAATAAGAATTATTAAAACTGATATCTAAAAATCGCAACATATATTCGTCTTTCTGTTAACATTTAAATAAACTGATGAATGAATAATAAACATTGTTTCCTGCAGACGATTTCAAGGACTGGGAAACAAAAGTAACGCAAATTCTTTATCTCGCTTTTGATTTGTTAAGGGCATATCGGCTTAGGACGCGCCATTTTAAATGGTCCAATCATGTCCAATGCTCTTGCAACGTCATATAGTTACTGCTTGTTTTTTCAAGACAAATGTTCTCTTTATTTATCGAAATATGTCACCAAATCTAGGACTCCAGTAAGACTCTACGACTTGTTGTATTTATACAAATACTTGATCTTGCCTAATTCTTGTTTTGGGGATTTCAAATCGGAAATTAATTTTGCTGTTAAAGCTACAAATTTTTTTAAATGACATTTTTTCTCATTTTTTGTTGAAATGTATAAGTTAAAAAACGTTATATATGTCAAGGGATTGAGCAAATATTGCGACAAACCTCCAGGGTAGTTAAAGCACATCATCGGGATTAAAATGTATAGAAACCTATGCTCGGAAATGTAGTTATACACGATTGAGGCGCTTCTCCATTATGACTTGTTCAGAAGCACTTGGAAAAACAATTCATAATAAGTAAGTTTTTCTCGCGACGTATGACGACAATTCGGGCATGGGTTCTGATGCAATTTTAATCCTGGAGATGTGCCCTAACTTTCATAGAAGTTTGTGGCAACATTTACGCAACCTCTTGCTACATACAAAGTTTTTACTTGTACATTTCGACAAAAAATGGGCTAAAAATTTCCTTTAAATAAAACAATAGCTTGGTGAGAAAAATTGATTTAATATTTGAAATCAGCGATACAAAAGCATCTGACATCTGTTTAAAAAATCGCATGCAACAGAAAGCAAAGATTTTTTCCTCGGTGTAATACGTTTCGTTCAATTTTATAGTTGGGGCCGGAATAGCCTGTTTGGTAGGGCACTGGACCCATATTCAAGCGGTCTTGGGTTCAATGTCCTACAGCAAAAGACAGTAGTAAATGGTGGCTGATATGCACGTTAAATCTGTCAAGTCACAAAGTCCTCCTTGTTTCAAAGATTCAGAATGACCAACTGTTCAATAGTTCTAGTTTTTTTGTTATCTTCGACGCTATTTCTCAATTTATACCTTGTTATCTTACCAGATTTGAGTATTTGGCTTCCTTCTTGGCCATATTTTCCTGTAAGGGTTAGCCTTAATGCAAAGCTATAAGTGAATCATAAATGTTTCTGTTGTAAGTCAACACTTATACCAACACACAATTTCCATATTTTATTGCGCCAGAATTAATTTCGAATAGACCGAGTTTTAGAAACGGATATATATAGCACAAATCTTAGCCTCAAAGGCCCAAATGTAAAATCCAATAGATTCAGGTCTGGTGAATAAAGTGGCCATTCATGTGCAGCAAGAAAGCCGTGTTTCAAAGTTCCTGTTGTTATAATTAAAGCAGATATCTAAAACACTTTTCTAACCAGGTTTCCAAAATGATTTTCCAACATGATGAGGTCAAAATGTGCCTTTTAAAACTTTCTTTAAACTATTTTAAGTAACACTTTATAAATAAGGCATTTCTTAATGAAAGTTATTAGTGAAATGCTTTCAAGCAAATGGTCGTAAGTTTCCCAGAAATTACGTAACACTTCCTTTTACTGAATATAATAACCGATATTGTTAATTAATTTTACATAGCGGGAAAAAATTAAAAATATTTTTGGAAACTCACCTAAACATCATAGACTTTGCAAACAGAGCTTACTTAACTGTGATATGCAATTTATCTTGATGTGAACTTTTACTGGGGATTTTTAGAATCTTTTACAAAAGTGAAATAAAAAGATGCAGGCGTATGTTTCAGAGGTATAAAACTAATATTTATGAGGAAAAGAAACGTAAACTTCATCGAAATTTGTTGAATCAATTATGAGGAAGGAAACCTGAAGGAACATCAAAACTAATCAGATAACTTGAAACTTGGGGTCACTTTGATTCTTTTTTCCCGATTTGAAATTTCGCCTTCTGTAATTATTCAGAAGATTTTCGTAATGTTTTCGTTTTTTCTTCATTCTAATTTCGACTATCATTATGTAATTTTCTTAATAGAATAGATTTTTTATAACAATTTTAAAAATACATAAAGTCTATGATAACAGAGCTCTTGGTACTTTTGTCACCTATAAATTTTCGGAAATAAGAGCTTGTTTAACTCTTTAACTAAGTGCCTTCTATTTTATCAAGTATAATTACGAATTTGTAAAAGAAGTTTTTATGTATGTGATTTCGCTCTTTTTTTTCAGGATTCGAAGACCAGTTTGACAAACTTAAACCTAATCAGGAGAGATTAATTAACAATTTTGATTATGACTCCATTATGCTGTACGGTGAGACAGCCTTCTCAAAAGATGATTATTCTAAGACCATGATTGCAAAGCAAAAAGGTGTACGACTTGTTGAACCATTCAACAAGAAAAGACTCAGTGACAGTGACATCCACAGGATAAATGTCCTCTATGATTGTCCTAATAAATGATTGATCTTATTTATGATTGTTTATAAACATAAATAAAAGTTTGAATAAATACAAGACTCCCATCTCTATTTGACTTTGAAATATAAAACATTCAATAAAACTTTGCTTAACTTTGGTACTTTTCTCCTATTTGTATAAAGCAGAGCCTCTTTTTCTACATCCTAAAGTAGACAATTGGGTATACTATAGCCTACGTCACAGGTTGTGTTATTCCTACTAAATTTAACCCATGAACGGCATTTTCTGCGAGCCCAACTTCAAGCCACAAATAAACAAACGAAGTGTTTGATCGTTTAACTTACCCTTCTCGCCAGATTTTATTGCATTATAAAGAAAAGTAATTGATATTCGATTTTTTATTAATAATTGATTTATGTGGATAGTGGCATTTATGTGGATAGTGGCATAGAATTTAGCATTGCGTCATGGTAAATGTTATTCCTACTAAGTGGAAGTAGTTGTGTTTTTTTTTATATTATACCCAATTATGAGTCACAAAGACAACCGCATATCCGTTTTTTGATGATTTTCATATTTTCATAGAAATACTTACAATAGGCTTACTTAGTTCTTTTTACTTCATTATTTACACGAATGCTGAAAATATAAGTTATTAAAGGCAGATTACTACAAAGCACTCTTTGTACTGGTTGACTAAATGAAAAATTTCATATGGTTTAATCAAGATCTTTATTCATTTATTTTTTTAGTATTGGTGATTTGCCGACCGGCCTGTGAAGGGGGCAGGGAACTGTCCTTGCATCAGAAAGGTTCTGGATTCGAATCCCGGGCATGGTATGGATGTTTCTTTCTCTCTATCTATGTTCTATGTCCTTTCTCCTTTGTGTGTGAATGTGACCTGCCCTGCAAACGGGTTGTGGTAATGTGACGTGGGCGACGCTGCTCCACCGCCGTGGCTTCGCCACAGGTGCCCACTGGATAACGAAAAGAGAGTTAGCAGTTCTGGCACATTCTGTGGCCAATGGACTATAGTTCCAAGTGCCCTCCATTAAAAAAAGAAAATATTGATGATTTTTAAAAAAATAGAATAAGTATTTTTAATGAAATAGTATGAGTATTTTAACTGAAGGAAACAAAAATGAATGTGTTATTGCTCTCTGTTAAAAAACCAGCGATAACTATGTAAGTTAAGGTCTGGTTTCTTAGGACAAGCGCCTTATCTGGGCGTCAGCAGGACGTCAACGTCTCGCTGACGCCAACAAAATACTGGTTTGTTAGCTCAATGCCTGGTTTCTTAGAACTAGCGCCTTATCTGGGGGTCAGCGGAAAGTTGACGTAGAGCTGACGCCAAGAAAATACTTTTTTGTTAGCTCAGCGTGAGCAGTCGGTCCAACGCAGACATTATCTCTCATTGCGCATGCGTTAATAACGTAAACAAATATTTATTTTGAATTTGTATTGATTTTGTTATTGTCGACCAGTGTTTTAGAGAACAAATAATGACTTTGTCCAAGAAAAAACATATTATAGCTGAGCTAAATGAAGAGTGCTATGTTTAATGAAGAAGCTATGTTTAATGTCAAAATCAAAATCTTGGCTGATTTCAATGTGCTGTTGGATATTGTCCGCCATTGCTTCTGTGGTTAACGTCACGTTGTAATTCAACTGCAGTTGAGTTGGACGGCAATTGTAGTTCAAGATGAGCGTTCGATGACGTATACTATCAAACTCACAAATGGACCAATCAGAGGTTAGCGCTGATTTCCAGCTGACGGCGTCCTGTCCTAAGAAACCAGGCCTTTAGAAAATTCGTTACAAAATTCGTCAACAGATGGCACAGATACGGAACATTGCTTCCTGCCGCATATTAAACTATTTAAAATGATATATTTATTTGCATAGGCGTCTGTTCATTTTGTCTTCCGATTATTACAAGTCTTCTGTAAATTGCGGTTGTTTCGAAAATAGGGTCATATAATTTTCTTCACTCAGCAACGCCATTTTCCAGCAAGCCGAAACAAAATGTCTGAAGACAGAGCTTTAAGATAAACCACTTTTCACAATTTACATTTTTATAGTCTATAAAATATCAGGTTGTATATTGGGTTTTGTGTGGCTGGGTGGAGCAGTTGGTTTGTCGTCGGCCTTCTGAGCCCAAGTCTGCGGGTTCGATCCCCGGCCCAGACACCGGATTTTCGGGATGCAGAAAATCCTCAGCGGCCATGTCGTATGATTATGCGGCATGTAAAAGATCCCTGGAGTGCCTTATTGGCTCTTGGCATTTCCGGCAAAATTAAATTCCTAGTGCACTTCAGCATCCAAATAGAGTCTCGGTGCTGCCATCTAGTGTGGCAGAAACTAGACGTCCAAATTAACATGACCATCGGTATCTCACCCATTGTGGTGGTCCTGAAAGAGTGGATACCAACTCTGGAGAACGCACTAGGTCTGCTCATCGGCAAGACCGATTGTGCAGCTCATTGGAAATAAAAAAAAATATTGGTTTTTGTATCATTTAACTACTCCTGCTGTTTCTCTTCCTCTAAGTTGTTTTCTTTAAGTAACATTAAGCACTGAACACATCCTTCAATTATTTACGAATTAGAAAAGACAGAAACTACGCGTCTACAAAACTTAGGAGCTAACAGCCTACTATCCTTCTTAAATTTTACCGATCAATTAAAGTTTTTCAATATTATCACATACTGATATATACAAAAGAAGAAAAAAAGAGATTTTTCATTAATATAAGTACTTAATTGTTATCAGGTATCAAAAAAGTTCTTCACTTTTTACAAAGAATAATCGAACAATATTATTCACTACGTATAAATGTTTCGGTTCAAGACAGCATGACTGATTCAGAGGTATAATAAAATCTATGAGTCAATTGATTTTGAGGATATTTAACTCTAAATATCATCTGTTAAATTCATTTTCAACAATTTAAAGGATTTTCAAAAGCAGGTTTGATTTGTTTAAAAGCACAAATTCAAAAACAAATAAATAAACACAAAACATTTAAAATTATTTTTCACGATCTTAATGTTCTGGTTAAAAAATAAAACTTACATTGTAACGTCCATCACAATATTGAAATTTAATATTTTATTTTTGATATATTTCTTAGTATTTGATATATCTATTTTAGTATCGTAAACATAAGCTATTTTAATGCCGCGATATTAATAAAAAGTTTAGAAAAACTCAAATAAAAACACTTATTTGGTTTTCAAATTATTATTCATCATCTGTGAGTTTTAATAAATTAGAATTGCATTTAAAATTGAAACGACCATTAAAAAAAATTCAAAATAAAAAATATTATTTTTAAAAGCCACGTTTTTGTAGTGGAGAATAATAATTAAAAAAAAATTTAAAAACAAAAAACGTGGGGTGCATGAAATACATAACAGTAATGTTATATTAGTGTGTGTATGTGTGTGCTCTTGAGAATATGTGTATGTATATCTGTAATTGTATCTGAATATGGATGTGGAATATGTTTGTGTATATACATATGTATGTGGATGTATATGTGACTGTGCATGTGTGTGAGTAAGAAAATGTGTATATGTATGTGTATATGTACTGTTATGTATTTCATGCGCCCCACGTTTTTCGTTTCTCACTTTTTTTTTTTAATTATTATTCTCCACTACAAAAACGTGGCTTTTAAAAATATTATTTTTTATTTTGAATTTTTTATTTTAAATTATAATTATTTTAATTTTTAATTTTTATTTTATATTTTGTTAAAATTATTACTTTTCAATTATTATTCTTCTCTAGAAAAAACGTGGTTTTCAAATATATAGATTTTTATTTAGATTATTTTTCTTAGTCAAGACTACAAAACCACGTCTAAAATAATAGAACTTTCATTTTAAAT